ACTTTTATTGACAACATACTGGTATGTTAAAACACAGTTGTGAGGTCAGAATTGGAAAGCAAAGGAGAAAAAGAAAAAAACTCCAAATGAATGTCTCTTTCTTTGAGTCAGCAGATAGTCAGTTAATCCCTTTTACCTCTTATTCATCTCTTCTTTTTCTTTTTGCATTTAAAAAAGAAAGCAAGCAGCAGAAATTCACATTTTTAGCAAAGAGGTCTCCAGAAACACCTTTACACCTTTCAATTAAACACCTTTTCCCAAATAAAAACACACAGTTTTGCCAATCAGGTTTGTGGGATTGGGTTGGCATTGTGTATTGATGCCTGTTCTTCCGAGAATTAACTCCCCACCTCACCATTCACCCCAGGTCAGGGGAAATACCAGGAATATTAATACTGTAAGTGTATCTCTGGTTTGATGACTACATTGATCATAAAAATAAACACCAGCTCTGTGCGATATAACATAAATTGTCTTGTATTTACATTTTTAAGTGCCTTTAAAGGAAATTTACCCACAATGACATAAACAAGACCAAGAAACCTGAAACACTGGTAAATGCTGAAAGCTAGGAGCAAGACAAAATGTTTATATCGCATTCTTCATTTAAAAATTAGGAGAGTCTAGATCCATGTAATTTTTACCCTATAAAATCAAGAGTTATAGGTCAGCCTGAGTTTTATAATTAGGTTACCAGGATGGGACACTATAATAAAATGTTCAGAAGCGATTGTTTGTATAGATGTCAGACAGAAAATTCGTGATTAGAATCAGAAGACAACATTTAAATTAGGATGTGCTTAACAGGATAAGTGTTACTCGATAGAAAACAACTGCTATTATCTAGTGCCTGTGAGCCCTGCCACCTATATACAGATGATCCATATTGGCATTTGAGGTTATGTGTGTGGAGGACACAATGTGTGTACATCAGGAACGGGTAGTTGGGCTTTGTGGATCAGGGAGAGCCTGACGTAGACGCTCACAGAAAGGCCAAAGCCTATACCAAAAGTGTACAGTTAATCCAACATGACAGACTTGTAGAATGCTGGTGAAAACAGAGTTGTTAAGCCACATCATCACACTGGCTTCCCAGAGCTCTCACCTTTTGGTCACAGGTCATGGTTTTGTTTCCTCAGCTGAAGAAGTCATTGCCGTGTTTATAAATGTTTGAAATTATGCTGGGAATAGTTGCTTCATGATGTGAGAGACTGGGGGGGGGTCTTGGATTGATGCACTGGATTAACCCAACAGTGCATGAGGCAGGGAGGCGCTCTGCAACTTCAGTTGCACAATACAAAAAAAACAAACAAAATTATTGTTTCGATCAAAAATGCAAGTGGGAATGTTTTGGAGCTGTTCTCTGTAATGGAAATATTGCTGATTATGAAGTCCCTCAGGCACACAAGTGAGCAGAGGAGCAGTTGATCAGCCAGTCGGCCGGGTGGTTGTGCTGCAGCAGAGTGAGAAATTGTCTTTAGCTTTGGCCGTGAGTATCTTTATCTCTCTCTTGACCACCTCACTGATTTATTTACTGGGATGGAGTTAGGACTGGCCCATTACAGGCTATTATTTAAGTTCACTTTCTTTCTTTGAAACACTCTCTACAATTACAAATGGAAACCAGGCTTTTGTCTCCTCATTCAAATTTTCATCTGTCCACATTTCAAGGAATTCAGCAGGCAGACACAGTCACATCAGAGACACCTTGGCAAACAAGCCTCCAGTGCATCTACAAAGATGAAATAACTCATTTTCCTCAAAAGCAGCATGAAATAAATTACATAAAAGTAATTAACACGTATAGTATATAATGTGTTTACAATAATTTAATCAACAAATCTCTGATGAATCAAAAGGCATTCCAAACGCTATATGTAATATACTGTATACTGTCCCTCAAAGTACAAAAACTATACTGTACAGTATGTCACTATTTAACTTTGCAAAGGTTAGTAATGCGTTACTCGCAGATGTAAGGTGCATCTTTTAATTCCTAGGATGCTTCCCACAGTTCTTCACACATCAGGACCAGCTCATCTTGCACATGGAGCTGCTATTACATACCTGGTGCCTCACTGCACAGCAGACTGGGATAGACAGGAGGGCAATTGCTTCGCCAGTGGGATTGCTGATAGAAAAGCAAGATTGTGCAAGCCCAAAGGACATCTGGGTTAGCACACCTACACTTACAAATACTTCTATGGGATTTTTATTCACAAAGTGAAGGCTTTGGTTTAATGTCTTGAACAAAAGGCAGGCTACAGCACAGTGTCTCCCTAAGGACGTTTAGGTCCAGGAAGACTACAGGTTCATCAACTGCAGCAAACTGGTTTCATTGGAGCTCTCCCATCTCAGTACTGAGCAGGCTGAGCTTTGCTTGTGAGAGCCAAGGTCAGAGTCGAAGGCAGTAACGCTAATCGCTCTGCTGTACAACTGCACAACAGCCAGTGGGCTTCCTACTGACAGTAGATGGCTCCATCTTATTCACGCCTGCTACAACACCTGTTAGCGTAAAAATGAAGTGCTGTCCCAAGTAAAAGAGAGTCTCTGTGTGCCTGAGTAACCTAGGTCATACTTCTGAATGTAGTCATGTGTGCAATGTTTTATCATGAACACACCATTGGTGCCTTTGCAGGCCCCCTTCTCTTCCTCTGTGTGTGTTTGCAGTTGCATGGTGCAGAGGTTAGTGTTGCTGACTTACAGTGGAGGGGCCCTGGGTTCAGTTCCTGGGGGTGCTGTCTGCATGTAGTCTGGGTTTTCTCTGGGTGCTGCGGTTTCCTCCCACAGTCTAAAGGCATATTTGTAGGTTAATTGGCTTCTGGGAAAACTGGCCCTGGTGTTTGTGTCTGTCTGTCCTACAGTGGATGGGTGTCCTGTACAGGGTGTACTTGCTGGGATAGGGTCAGGCTCCTCTACGACCCTGTATTGGATAAAGTAGTTAGATAATACGTGGGTGGCTTCTTAAAATACAGGTTTCAAATACACTCCTTTTTCTTGCACCTGTAGAAAAATCAGGCAATTCTGCTTACGATTAAGCTTGGTCTAATTCTTTCACCTTTAGTTCCTTGTAGTGAATGTAGCATGCTTTGAAATCAATATTTACATATTCAGGATTAATCTCATCCCTAGGTTTTCAGAGACTCTAGGAACAAATGACATTTTCTTCATGAATTATTTCCACAACAAACAAGCAGGTAAGCTTCACTTAGGATGCCAAGTGTAATTCAAAGACTTTCATTAAAAATGAAGGAGCAGTTCTAGTTATTTTAAAGAGGCTTATTATTAACAATCAAATAAATGCCTGAAACCCAAATTATCCTTACTTTTTTGCGACAACTTTTCTCTGAGAACAGATTTAGAAGCAAGGCTTTGCATAACCTCACTTTTTTTATATACACAGGTTTCATCATTCTCATTGTCTAACTCTTTCATAGTTGTGTACTGTACTGTATATGTGCCCAGTGGAAAATGGTCAGAAACTAGTAGTGAAGAGAAGGAAGCCTTTATTTTCATTTTGTGTGACAGGGGAATGTTGTTGTTGTTTTGATTAGTCATGGGAGAGCCACCCTCAGTCTTCAGTTTTAGATATTCAAGTAACTAGACAAGGATCACAAAGCAGTAGGGTGTCATGACTATTTTTACACCCGTGCCAGTGACTCATATCACTGTACGTTCCTGGTCTAATGGCAGCAGGCAGTGCAATACGCCACAATAGCTGCCTTCAGAAACAGATACTGTAGGTCTTAAGTAGGCGAGACGTGTGTCAGCATGTCCCACCGCAGCCACCCAGACTAACCTGGTCAGCTCCCCCTCGGATACGCTATTCCTAGCGCTGGGTCACAGAGCTCCGGACAGAAAGAGAACTCGCACTTCTGGGTCCTAGAACAAATCTTTCATTTTTTTTTCCCTAGACCTCAAATAAAACGGGGGCAAGGAACACAAATATGGGAATCTATCCGGCGCGGTACCTGCAGACACCGTGGTAAACCCCTGAAGCGGCTTAATTACACGTTGCAGGGCCAGAGCAGGCTGCCGGATCGGCAGTTAATCCCCCGCCTTCGGGTTCAGTCGTGTTCCTGTGAGTGGGAAGAGCCTGCAAGCGTTAAAACAAAGACGAGTTCTTAGTAAGCATGCAGGGCTCTTATTTTTCTAAATGCGTCTTAAAAACAGATACTGTATCTCTGCAGTTAAGCGGGGTATTTGATCAATTGTATACATATAAATCAGTGCAGTGCTTTACAGGTTTTTTTTTGTATTTATTAATGATTCTGTATAAGTCATCTTATGTTTCAAAATGAAAATGGATCGTAATTAAAACGGTCTTAAAATGACGTCTTGATACATTGAAAACTTTAAGCAGTGTTTCCTCACAAAGTGTTTAGTGTTGGTGTTCAGCTTTAAAGGGAAGTTTTAAGAAAAAGACACGACAGCCACAACTGCAGTATGAGTCCACTGCGTGTATAAATTCACACGGAGAGATGTATAGGGCTATTCTTAGTGGGACGACAGTGTAGTTATCGTGTAAAGGTGTGTACTATAATCAATTAAAATCACAGACTGCTAGTCCGTTCTAGGAAACCCTTCACTCTAAGTCTGTTGGGGTGCAAAATGAAGTTCGACATAAAATAGGTGCATTGACTTGCTGCTCTCTTTTAAAGCCTTTTCAACATCATTAGGATTCTACATAGTGATGCATAAAGATCTAAGTTTGGTTCAAACTTGTAGCTCCTTATTGAAAATATTATTTAAAAAAAAAAAGGTGGGGTGTGGGAGGCGGTCGCTTTAGTTTGAAGCGCTTGACAGCCGCACCAGAATGAAATCAAAATTTAAATAAAAAACCACGGAAAACGTGCGGGACAGCGCCTCTAGCGGCGCGCGACGGAGCCGAGAGTGAGTGTGTGTGCGCGCGCGCGAGAGCGAGCCTCGGCCGCGGTCACGTGAACCCCCCCCGTCCCTCCCGTGTTGAATGGGAAGGCGAGTCCGTTGCCGGCCGCCGCCATTACATCGCTATGCGCGGTGGGCCGGCGGAGTGCGAGAGAGGCTGCGAGCGCAGGAAGGCAGGCAGTCCGACACTCAACTCCGCTCGGCAATGTAACAGTAAAGACACCGAGACACAAACAGTGCCTGGGAAGGGAGACATAGCGACATTAAATTAGCAACTCTCCGGGTTTTTTTTTTTTACCCCGAAACCTTTTACCCACCCTTCATGATTTGAAATTATTTTTTTTTAAATCTCCCGTTCTTTTTGTCGAGGTTGGTTTTCGAGGATTAAGGCACCGCGACACCGCCGTTTCCAGTGGTTTTTCTTCCCTTAGTGCGATCGGTGCTAGCCGGGGGTGTTGAATACAGCGCCAAAAGCGAAATTACAGTATCGGCATCGTTGCTGGAGTGTCATCGTTCCCTCCGAGGCGCCGATCACCATCATCATCATTATTCGTGTAAAGAATACGCGTTTCTCTTTTTTTTCCCTGAAAACAAATCCCCGTTTCAGCTGCTGGGGGAGGACGTTTCGTCATTATTAAACAGAAAAAGGAGAAAAAAAGGGGGGGGAGAGGATTTTTTTAACTCTCGTTTCGTCTCGTTTTCTGCATTTCACCCCCCCCAACACCGATGATGGACGGGAAGTATACTTTTTCTTGGATGTGGCGTGAAACATGTATACAGACATAAGTCGAAACCGAAAATTAAACCGTTCGGCACCGAGACCCGTCGCTGTTTTTCCTCTCCTATAAACAAAACGGAAGAGACAACCTTCGCTAGGTCTGTGTGTGTTAGTATGCAGCTGTAGCCTGTTATAGCAAAGTGGAAACAGAAGAAAACAGCCCCTCTTTTGCCCGTAGTGTGTACTACACTCGCAGGGCATGTTGGTGGTAAGAAATACTATAAATAACTATTACAATTCGCAAAAACTATCACAACGGGGGCATTATGTTGCGAGCCATGCGATCTCTATTCCTGCGTGTGTGTTTTTAAAATCTCTCGTTACTGTTCCGTTTCCTGCGCTCGTCAGATTTTCCCGTTCAACAAGGATCTTCAGGACCTGACCGAAGCCTTTTTCTTTTTCTTTTTTCCAACAGAAAGAAATATATATATATACAGAGAGAGAGAGAGATATTTCGGTCGCTTCCAGCTGGATGTTTATTTATTTCGCTCCTATCACCTCTCACCAATCCGGGATATCATCGCGCACCTTTTGTATGTGACTCCGAGCGTTTTTGTCAGTGCCCTTCCTTCTGCTGTTTGTGGTTGAAACAAAATAATAAACGCTGTTCAAAGGACGGAGTGGTTTGTGTGTGAAGTTATGGAAACAGTGTTTCGCTTTTGTTATTGATCAGTTTTTTTTCCCTCTATTTTCTCCGGCAGTTTTTTTGCCACCACCACCCCCCTTCCCAGCCCCTAATAAAGACAAGGAGGTTGAGCGTGTATGGATTACACTGTTATTTAATCAATACGGTAACAACAACGAAGGCTTGTTTGGATGTACAGTGAGACGCTTCTCCCCCCTCCTCCTGCTTGGATTAACGAAACGAGGATTTGTCTTTTTTTTTTTGTGTGTGTGTGTGGGGTTGCGTTCGGAATCGGTTCGGACCCGCTGACCTGGAATCCTTCGGATCGGCACCGATCGGCCAGCACGTTTTTGGATTTACAAAATACGATCCGCTTGGAGTGACGCCTGGAAACAGTGGGGGGAAAGACAGCATTTAACTGGGGTTTCACCTCAACCCGGTTCGGATTCACTACGACAGCGTGGGGGGGTGGTGGTGGTGGTGGTGGTGGGGGGGTGGATATTATTTAATCGATATATTTTCGTTGGGGGGGGTGGGGTGGGGGGGTAATAATTTCAAATCTCGCCTCTGCTCTGGTTGTGAACCCAGCGTGTGTTGGAGACGGCGTGGATAGTTCTGTTCGTCTGGTGGAAAGGGAACCGAAGAGGCTCGGTCTCGGTACCGACCCAGGATTCCGACATGCCCAGCACTGACGACCCGGTCCGTGGACGATTATGACTGCAGCAGCGAACTGGGTGGCTAACGGGGCGAGCCTTGAAGACTGTCACTCCAACCTCTTCTCTCTGGTACAGTAACACTACGTTAACCGTTTAACGAAAACGCCGTGCACATTACAGTACACCCAGGGAGCCTGCTCCTGTCGCCATCCGGATGGGGGCACACTTTGGGACAGATCTGTACTTTTGGTACAAAGGTGAACCCGTCGCTGGTGCTGTGATTAGAGAATCATTAGCTAACACAGGGCAGTGAACCGAGGATATCGGCGCTCCAGATTGGTCTCAATAGGCCACACTCACAAAGCATTTTACACGCTGTCATTTAATTCATTCCGTCAAGGCAAGGGAGTGCTGCACCATGAAAGTGTTTTAAGAACTCCTTGCTGTTCCCAAATTGATTTTCATCTGATTGATCCTTTAAAAAGATCTCGCACAAATGGGTGGATATATCACTTAACGTATCCAGTCAACATTTGTGCACATGTACACTTTTCTATTTCGCTGCATTCGCTTCGATATAAATACACATTGTTCAGGGAAAACATCCATCCCCACAAGTATAGGAAAATAGAAATGATGTAGTGTTAGGGTCTGTAAAGTAACTTGAAAAAGTTAATATTATTGTGTTAGCAAAAGCTCCGACTTCAAAAGCTCTTTCGACTATTGGTCTTGAGTGAACATTTGACAGTTTTCACCTCAGGAGGAATACCAAAAGCTAGTGGTATTCTATGTCAGTTGGTGATGACCTTGACACTAAATTGCAGTTTTACTGTAGTAAAGTGATGAGTTTAGAAATTGTGCATCATTGTATGGGTCCTTCTAGGATACTAGGATAACATTCGTGATGTTTACTTAAGATTGATATATAAAGATCAAATATGAATTCTTACCATTTCTATTTAAAACATTTAAGGCACCTTTCCTTTGGCACATCAGTGCACTGACTTCTGTGCATTAAATGTTTTGGTTTGTAGCCTGTGGCCGACTACCTTATTGTAAATATTGTTCTCTGTCACTTTAGGAGACACCCAACAGGGAACTTGACACAGACTGAACTTAGTCACAGTAATGGAGAAGAGCCTTTATTGTGACACTGGATTAGGAATAATGTGAAAATAATTGAGGAGACAATGGCAGCAGATTTCTTAAGCTTTGTAACCTTGAGGAAAGGAAGAGTGCATGCCTTTAGTTAAAAATAATTTCTGTTGTTATATTGTCAGACATTTTTTTATTTTAGTTTTATTTATTTTCCGTTTAGCTTCGAACACTGTAGATCGACAGGCTTTTACAATGATGATGAAACACATAGTCCAAGGAACACATGTAAAGATCGACATAAAAATGGGTGAAATTAATCACTAGGAATGCAAGGGGAGTAATAATTTTCTACTTCTGCAACCTTCTGACTGAATTTAGTTATTAATCGAGTCTAAGAGGGATGGTTTGTTTTGGAAATTGCTATAATTTCACCAAGCATGCTTCATGTGCGTATGAAATATGTTGTGTCTTGGCTTTCAGCTTTTCTGAAAGACAATATTAGCCTTGTTGTGTTGTCAAGAGGAGCAAGGATGTCATTACTCGACAAGCTGGATCAAATCTGCTCTTCAGGTAGTACAATTGTGCAATACGCAGGTTTCTAGTGGAGCACACACGAAAGTAATGATTAGAAGGGATCAGTGTACTGAACAGCAGATTGTAGTGTTAAATTCTCCAATTAAAACTGAATACCTCGAAAAGATCAAAGGCTGCATAGTGATGCAGCTTTGCGTAAAGAGATCAGTATGCTTCAAAAAAGAAAACTCTTTGTTTCGGAGAGTTTCAGATGCTGAAGTTAATGCAGCATCTAATACAGCGAGCACAATTGTGGATAGACTCTTCCGCGTTAACATTCATAATATCCTACATCCTAGAATATAAATATGGTTGAACAAACTCAAAGATAAAAAACTGTTACTCAGAGTGTAAGTTTTCATTCAAATGTCTGGTGCATTAGACTTGTGCATTACAATAAGAACTTCTGGGGGGGAATTTTGAAAGACTTAGTGTTGGCAGCAAACACCATTAATGAGCAAGAATAATGCTACTCATGATAATGATTATAATGATAATAGTAACAAATTAGCATCTACCATAATGACTAACAACAGCCATGACAATGATAGTATGATAATAAGAACAGTTTCTACAGCAGCTATAGTACAATACCCGAAGTATATCGTACCGAACCAACGGGCTGGCTTTCTTTCACTGAGGGTTCGTATGTGGTTTGGTCACCCGGAGCTGAGGGGCACTCACTGGCAGACTGATTCTGTACTCCACACAGCACCTGGGGGGGATTCTGGCTGGAAAGCATGTCTAACTGAGTTCCAGCAGTGCCCAGTTTTGTGAGGGTTTCCCTGTTCTGGATTTCCAAGCCATGCTCACTAGGATGTGTGGCTGAGTTTGCTGACCTCAATGGCAAGGCGAGATAAGACCCGCCCTTTCTCCACTGATTCACATGGCAAGAAAAGGGTGAGACGCTGCTAGTTTGAGTCCAAATGAGAGAACAGGGCTTGGAAGCCACAGGCAGGTGGCATTGATACTGCCGTCACCATAGACTTAGTAGGCAGAAGTGACAAGGAGCTGTTAACATCCCATTAGAAAAGTAGTGACAATTTTCAACAGTGCTTAAGCATTGAAATCGCATGATTGAGTGAGAACTTGATTAGATTTTGTTCACTTTTCCCTTGTTATAATTTAAGCAAACAAGTGCTGGGGTTTCTAGCATTGTCACACATCATCTCACCACTCAGAATTTACAAACCAGTAGTAACGGGTATCGTTACAAGCAGGACAAAAATGTGTACAGTAAACCCAAGGCAAAGTGGCCTAGGCTCTGTAATAGCATTCAGCCTAGGTTCAAGGCTCATAAGAATGCTTACTGCATGAAATCAATTAATTCACTAAATAAGGTGTGAGGGGCTTTCGAGTTTATGTCTCTGTGTTCCTTAAACTCTTGTTGTGACTAGGTATCTTCAGTAGTGAGAAATATTTACTACTAAAAGTTAGTGTGAATATGTGGTTGGATTAAAGTAAAAATGAATTGGGAGGAGCAGCGCATCCCGCACCGACAACACTACAAGCCTGCGTGTTCCAACAAGTCACAGACTTTCACTGAAGTCGGAGAAGGCCCTGGCCAGCGCAGCCTCTCCTTGCTCCAGCTGAGGATATAACAGTGTCAGAAATGTTACAAACAACAGGAAGGCCATTGGGCCCTTTTAGCCTGTTTAATAGTTAGAAGTTAATTGATCCGATGATCTCCTCCAGCTGTTTCTTGAAGGAAACCAGTGTATCGGCTTCAACAACATGGCTGGGTAGTTTGTTCCATACTCCCACAACTCATTGTGTATTGAAAGATTCGAAGAATGTTCAAAAGCATCGCTGAATTGAATAGCTGGCCAGGAGCAGACTTTAAGGATCAGATTTTTGTTTTTTTTTTATGTTACATATGCCTTTTATTTGCTGTCTGAGTAAATCTAGTTGTAGCACTACGTTTTTTTGTAAACAGGATTAACAGGGTAAAGAAATGCTTCCAATTCTCAGTTTTAAAAGCACTTGTGTGTGGCCTTTTGGGTTTGTGTTTCAATGTTTGCTTGGAAGAAGTCCGCTGAGTTAGTGCCCTTAAAGATTCAGAATACTCATTTGAATACTCTCCTTAGTCTTCTGTGTTTAAGACTTTAAATGTTCAGTTCCTGCAGCCTGTTAGGTTAGGCCCTGTGAAAGGGCACCGAATGGGATGGGGAATTATATCAGTGCTGCACAGGCTTCAGCATGCTGCGTCAAGCTGACTTTTTTCCTCCTCACTTTTTGAAATTACCATTTGAGAGTGGTTTCACAGGACTGAAACTTGATCAAAGCAAGAAAAGCAACAGGGGACATTTTTTTAGAAGTTCTCTTTAAGCTTTTAGCAAAGTCGAGATGTAGGACATCCTATCTCCATTATCTTATCGGTGGGGTACAACCTAGTGGGTTTCAGAGTTGCCCTGAGGCCCCTGTCTCATATACCTATATGGTACATTGTGAAGCAAGTGGGTTTCACAGTGGAGTGCAGTAGTGGAAAGTTCACAGAATGCAATAACCCATGACGAGAACAGAGAAAGCAATAAAGTGTTTAGGTTTTTTTTAAAATCATAATGTACCTATTTAAAAAAAAGGCTTCAAAAGTGGTAACAGCATAGCTTAAAAAAAACTGAGCCTAAATATTTTGTAACCCTTCAATATACTTCGCTTTTTTTTTCCAAAAAGACATTTTCCTTCATAAGCACGAGACCACTTCAGCTGGCAGAAAGTTCCCCGCTGCCTGCTTTCACTTAGCTTTGTGGATTGTGCAAAAAGGCTGGCTTTTGCTTTGAATATTTGTTAGCAGAAATCGAAATGTTGGAAAAGCCCAAACAGTTTTATGTGTTGTCTGTGAACCAAAAACTGTACCACAAAGACTGCAGATGACAGCAGTGTGGAGTAGTGGTTAAAGCTCTGGAGTTATAGCTATGAGGCTGTGGGCTCAGTTCTCAAGTAGGGCTATGCTGTTGTGCTGTTGAGTAAGGACCCTCACCTCAGATTGGTCCAGTGAAATGTTCAGGTGTAGAAATAGGTAGAAGTGTGAGTTTCTTTGGGTAACAGCATCAGCCAAGTAAGCTGATTGCCAATGAAAGTAGATTAGTAAAACGAGCTGTCACAGTCAAAATATTTCATAGTATAAAACAATGCCCTGAAAATAAACAAAGGAAATCTGAAAAAATCCCACTTAAATAACATTGTACTGCTTTGTGTGTCATACCCAGAGAACTGAATAAAATGGAGTGCTTGCAGGTTGGTTAGCCTGACATCTAAGGGCATTTGAATCGCAGGCCTTGAACCCATTGTAATTTGTTGTATTTAAAATACATATTAAAGTGTCACCTATGTCAAATGAGTGCAAGCAGTTATCTGTCCACTTGTCTTGTTTTCATCTCTGTTTTTGTGAAATGTAAGCTGTACAGATGCAATCTATATGCTGATATATTTGAATACGAACAGTAGTATATATTGTC